TAGCGCAAAGCGTGCCAACACCAAATGGTTTTAAAGCTGACTTCTTCCTCATTGGTAAGGAACAGTTTCTTCTAGTATTTTTTAAAATATTCCGGAAAATAGAAAAAGGTGAAAAATTTTCCAATTCACATTATACAGCTAATTTTGATGCAGTATGAGAAAAAATTACAATTTATTTTATAAAATGGATGCAAAAATCCAAATAAAATACCATAAATTCATACACAGTCATTTATTAAGGAACAGCACACCATAGTCAAGCTTTTATTGCATACATGTAACAGTGACTTAATATTTGGAAGCATAATATAATACATTACATCAATACACTAAAGTACACAAATCGTAATTATGTTGTAATTAGTGAAAAAAGTACTTGACAAAATTTAGCCATTTCTCATAAAATCTTCTATTTAAAATAAAAGGGGGCCGGGTGTGGTAGTTCACGCCTGTAATCCCAGCACTTTGAGAGGCCAAGGTGGGCAGATTACTTGAAGTCAGGAATTCGAGACCAGCCTGGCCAACATGATGAAACTCCATCACTACTAAAAATACAAAAATTAGCCGGGCATGGTAGCACACGCCTTCAGTCCCAGCTACTCAGGAGGCCGAGGCAGGACAATCGCCTGAACCCAGGAGGCGGAGGTTGCAGTGAGCCAAGATCACGCCACTGCACTCCAGCCTGGGCGACAGAGCGAGATTCTGTCTCAAAAAATAAAGTAAAATAATATATGGAATTTAAATAATGCACCTAAAAAAATCACACCTACTTTTTAAAAAAGAACAGATAACATATTAATTGATGAAATATTAATGATCAGCATTAAAGCTGGGAAAAGGTCAGGGATGCCTGTTTCACCGCTGCCACTCCACCTGCATTTGGGGGTTCTCGTGGCAGACGAAGGCAGGCAGGTGTGGTGGAGATTGTGCACATCAGGTCGGAAGTGCTGACATTCTCCCCTCCCTGCAGAAGAGAGGGATGCCCGTTGAGAAGGTCCAAAAGCTTCATTCATACATTCGTAACCTACAGAACCAATAAGATGCTTTAGGTAAGTGATTGAACATATAAAATTGCTTTTATGTACTGGCCATAACCAGTTATCATAGAAATTGGAATAACAACAATGAATTCTACATGCAACAGAGTCAAAAGCAATAAAATAATGCCTAAGAATATGTTTAATAGATGGCAAGATGATGAACCAGCACTGGCCACCGGTCCCTCGCCCCAGATCAACCCTGGGCGAGGACACCCTGCCTAGCCCTCCTGGGGCTGGGGCCGGAGGCGGGGCTGGACACCCGTTATATAGGATCTGAAAGTTCTTCTGATGTAGGGCACGGCACACTCACACTCCAGAGGTGAAAAGCAGAGTGCTGTGTCACTCACAGCTCCAAACAAGGAAGGCGTCCAGGCAGGGCCACATGAGGCACCCAGGGATGGGGTAACAGCCAGCTGGGGCTGCCAGGTGGCTGGTGTGTGGCCAGCAGGTGGGGTGGCTGGGTTTCTCGGGCTCCCTGTGGATTGGCTAATTTGGGTGATTTTGAGCTCTGGGTCACAGGGCTGTCCCTGGTTGTCTGGCCCTTGGCCCTGGGGCAGATTTGGGCAGATGTGCAGTGGCCTGGAGTGTGAGGGGCCGATGAGGAGGTGGTTGGGTGTGGACTTAACTGGCTGCTCAAGGACGGAACTGACTGAACTCTAGGGCCTCAAAACTGGGTCAAGACAGCACATCAGCAGTAATAAAACCCAAGCTGTGTCACCCCACCAAGGCCAAGAGGGCAGGTGTGTCCCAGAGTGGAGGTGGCTGCCCCTGCACAGATGCACCTGCTGCCTGTGGGGTCAGGGTGTCTGCAGGCACTCTGTGATGTCCACCCCCTGGATCTCTGGGTCTCACCTCCAGGGGCCCAGCCTTGGTGCACAGACCTGCCTTGGCTGAGCATTAGAGCTTCCTGGGTTCGCACTCTGTTGTGTCCTGACTGCCCCACAGCTTTGCCCATCCTCTGCAGGGGCCCATGCCTTCACACCTGTCCTGATGCTTATGCACCTCCTGGTGTTCTCATTATCCCTTATACGGTTAGTGTGACTTGGTGAAGGCTAGCGCATGACTGTGCCTGTAGGCATTTGCCCCCAAGACCCTCCAGGCCGCTGAACCATCACATGGGCTAAGGCATAGTCCTCCCCGGGATGCTTGCCCAGGCCACTGCCAGTGAACCCTCTGTGACCAGCCCCTGCCTTGAGCCAGGGACCATCCAAGTCCTACCTTCCACTCCAGATGGCCCTCCCTCACCAGGCAGGCCATGACTGGCTGGTCTCAAAATCCCATTTGTTATCTGTTCTCTCTCTTTCTCTCTTTCTTTCCTTCCTTCTTTCTTTCTCTTTCTTTTCTTCTTTTTCTTCCCTTCTCTCTCTTCCCTTCTGTTTCTTCCCTTCTCTTTGTTCCCTTCTCTTTCTTATCTTCCCTTCCCCACCCCTCCCCTCCCCTCCCTTCCTTTTCCTTCCCTTTCCTTTCCTTCGAAGTCTCGCTCTTGTCCCCCAGACTGGAGTGCAGTGGCATGATCTCGGCTCACTGCAACCTTCACCTCCCGGGTTCAAGTGATTCTCCTGCCTCAGCCTCCCGAGTAGCTGGGATTACAGGTGTGGGCCACCACGCCTGGCTAATTTTTGTATTTTTAGTAGAGACGGGGTTTCACCATGTTGACCAGGCTAGTCTCGAACTCCTGACCTCAGGTGATCCACCTGCCTCGGTCTTCAAAAGTGCTGGGATTACAGGCATGAGCCACGGCGCCCGGCCTTGCTGTCTGTTTTCTTGGCCCATGGCCTGCTTGGGTCTCTCAGAGAGAGGACACAGGAAGGATGTTGCATAGAAAGAGTTTCCAACTTCAGCACAGTTCTAAAAAAGCCTCAGCCAGCCAGCAGGTTGCCTTCAAGCCAAAGTTGCCCACCAGAAGACTCTTGCCATGGACAGAAAAACAGCCAGCTCGAGTACCCTCTCCTGCCCTGTCCTTGTGGGGAGTAGCCGGAGGAAGCCCCAGGCTCAGGCCAGCCTGTGGCCACACGCAGCCGGCAGGGAGCAGCCGTGAGCTGCAAGCATCGGGAATTCATGCCAGAGTCTCTGCCGCCTTTATCCCTTGCATGTTAATGCGCCTGTAAAATCTCTCGCAGGGAATGCAGCCAGTTCACCTCTCCGCATCCCAAGGGGGAAAGGAGAAAAATCAGCCGGCCTGTCCTCATCCGTAATCCGTGGGGGATAAAGAATGGAGAAGCTGCCAGTCCTAGAGAGCACTGGGGTGTCCCTGTGTCCCTTCTGAGATGGGAGAGGCCACATGGGGTGAACTTACGGGCTTGGGCTTTTGAAACAATTCAAAGGGTGAGGCCTCACCAGCAGAGGGCAGAGAAACTAAGGCAAGTTCTGGATTTTCCTTGAGTACTGCTATTATTTATTCATTTATTTACTGAGATGGAGTTTCGCTCTTGTTGCCCAGGCTGGAGTGCAATGGCGCAATCTTGGCTCACTGCAACTTCCGCCTCCCGGGTTCAAGTGATCTCCTGCCTCAGCCTCCCAAGTAGCTGGGATTATAGGCGTGCAGCCCCATGCCAAGCTAATTTTGTGTGTGTATGTACATATATATATATATATATATTTTGTAGAGACGGGGTTTCACCATGTTGGCCAGGCTGGTCTCGAACTCCTGACCTCAAGTGATCCACCTGCCTTGGCCTCTCAAAGTGCTGGGATTACAGGTGTGAGCTACCACACCGAGCCTTGAGTACTATTATTTAAGATTCTTTGAAATAAAAGATAAAAGAAGAGAGAATTTTAAGAGGCTTTCATTTTTGGCAAAAGTTTGAGCTACAGGATACTGGAAAAAGTTGAATTATTTGAAAAGTACGCTGAATTTACAACAAGCAAGGGGGAATCTCTGGGGGGTGACTTGGTACCACACAACAAAGAGGGCGTTGGGATCCAGGACCATTTGTCTGCAGCGTTGCAGGGGTCTGGTGTGCTTAGCCAAGGGTCTTGGGGACAAGCTCTGGTCATGGGGGGCGTAAAACTGAGACCCTGCAGGAGGTAGGACCTTGGCAGGGCCACACTCTGCACGCGGAGCGGGAGGGGGGACTGCAGAAACCGCTACCCTTCACAACAGGGAATGAACAGGGATTTTGCCTGTATTGGCTTCTGGGTAGGAAAAAAAGCAACCGCTCTGAGATGTACACACAAGCCTGAACTTCAGATGACTTTGGGACTAGAGTGGACACTGCCTGCATACTTGCAGAGGTGCCAAGCCCATAAATCACACCAAAGTGTGGTCTTGCCTTAGTGACATCCCTGTGGCTCCTGGGGAAGAAGATGAGACCTGGATATGAAGGGAAAGGAATCCCCTAAAATAGGGGCTTCCAGAACACAGCTTCAAGATTCACCATTTCAAATCTCATCAGGTAACACACCCACTGAAGGCGACATGTTGTAGGCACAGCAAAGGGCAGAACTGGTTCCGTGAGACCTTGGAATAATAGCACTTTGGAGAGGCACTGCATGATACATAGTTTTAAATAACTGGAGATGTAAAATAATAAACTGGGAGGCCAGGCACGGTGGCTCACACCTGTAATCCCAGCACTTTGGGAGGCCGAGGCGGGCAGATTGCCTGAAGTCAGGAGTTCAAGACCAGTCTGGCCAACATGGTGAATCCCCATCTCCACTAAAAATACAAAAAAATTAGCCAGGTATAGTGGCGCGTGCCTGTAATCCAGCTACTAGGGAGGCTGAGGCAGGAGAACTGCTTGAACCCAGGAGGCGGAGCTTGCAGTGAGCTGAGATCACGCCATTGCACTCCAGCCTGGGCGATAGAGTGAGACTTCGTCTTAAAAAAAAACAAAACAAAACTGGGAACAAGATAAAACAGACAAGATTTCAAGATATAAAAACAGGAGTATTTGAAAGAAAAAGCAAATGATCATGTGAGTTCTTGTATTAAAAGCTACATTTTTATTATCTGTGCAGGGAAGAGTGTATCACAGCCATTGGGAACTTTCTTCACCCATCAAAGCCTCGGGGCTGAAGCATCCTGAACAAGAACTCAGAAGAGTGAAAGAAACAGTTACCTGTCGGCTGCAGCTGGTACCAGCTCCCCACCCTGTAGAGAGCCCAAAGCATCCTCTCTCTCCCCACTCACCCAGCACCAGACTCTGCCCCGTGACCTCAGGCTGCACCTGCTTCCCGGCCCCATCCAACCTTCCAGCCTCACTTGATCATCATGGGCCACTGGCCAACACACAGGGCAGTGCCAAGCCCAGGCCGTGTGCACACATGGCTGGGTTAGTAGCTGAAAACATTGTTTTTTTCTGGCCTCACAGTAATGGCACCTGCCCCCATTTTCTGTGATTGAATTTTTGGATCCTGCTACCAGGTTATGATAGATGTTATGATATGTCTCAAGATGTTGAGATAAAGGTAATAAAACAGATATAAAGTCCTGGCTCAGGAATTGTTACAAACCCAAGCTGGGTAAATACAAGAAAACCGCATGCAGGCACAACATAGTAAAATTGCTGAAAACCAAAGATGAATAGAACACTTAATAGTTGGAGGAAAAAGCCACATTACCTTCAAAAGGACACAAATCATGCAAACATCTGACTTCGAAATAGAAATACAAAAGTCAAACCACAAGGGAATGTGATCTTCAAAATGTTGAAAGAATTTACTTGTTAAGTGAAATAATTAACTGCCAACCTAAATTGTATTCCTAGTGGAAATACTCTCCAAGAACAGAGGTGAAATAAACACAGACTCATACAAAAGAAATCAAGAGTGTTCTTCCTCAGGAGACCAGCTGATGGGTATGAGGAGAGGTGTTTGAAACGTCCTTAGAGGGAGAGCTAGAGACACAGGGAGGAGAAACCTTCAGAACACACCTTCCACTGAGGGCCAGAAAAGTCAACCATCGATTCTTTGAAAATGCCCCAAACTTGTAAATCTCTGGTGATGCTGACCAAGAAAACAATGAAGGCACCCTGCGATGGGGAAGGAAAAGGGGAGATCGCTGGAGATCTGTGGACATTAAAAAATAGAGCACAAGGAACATGCTAACAGATTTGAAAGTTTTGATGAGTTGGGAAAATTCCTACGAGCTGGAAAAATTCCTAGAAAATTACAGCTTACCAAAACTGAAAGAAGAAGAAAGACAAATGACCCCACGTTTGTTAAAGAAATTGGATCTGTCATTAAAAATTTTTCCACAGTGGAAACTCTAGTCACAAATGGCTTCACCAGTGAATTCTACTTAACATTTAATGAATAAATAACACCCACCTCATACAAACTCTTCTAGAGCCGAGACACGATGGGAACAGCAACTCCACCTGTCATGTTTCAGCTCCAGGAAAACGTGATACCCAAACTCAACAAAGAAAAAAATAAACTTACAGACTAGTCTCACTGATGAATATAAACAGAAATCCTCAACAAGATATTAGCATATAAGACCTGGCAGTTGGCCGGGCGCGGTGGCTCACGCCTGTAATCCCAGCACTTTGGGAGGCCGAGGCGGGCGGATCACGAGGTCAGGAGATGGAGACCATCCCGGCTAACACGGTGAAACCCCGTCTCTACTAAAAATAAGAAAATTAGCCGGGTGTGGTGGCGGCGCCTACAGTCCCAGCTACTCGGGAGGCTGAGGCAGGAGAATGGCGGGAGGCGGAGCTTGCAGTGAGCTGAGATTCGGTCACTGCACTCCAGCCCGGGCGACAGAGCGAGACTCCGTCTCAAAAACAAAAAACAAACAAAAAACCCTGGCAGTATGTAATAATGAACACATGAAATTGAGTCATCTCTCTCTCTCCTCCTGCCTCTCTCTCTCTCTCTCTGTTTATGAGTGTGTGTATATGTGTGTGTGTGTGTATGTGTGTGTATATATATATATATTTCTACAAACCAATGAAAAAATGACTGGCGGCCTAGGAGGCAATTGTGCGTAGAACTGAACAAACACTTCACAAAAGAAGCTGTCCCATGGCCAATAAACATGAAACGGTGTCCAGCCTCATTAACATCAGGGAAATGCCATGCAAAGCACAAGACACATCAGCACATTCATCAAAACGTATAAAATTGAGGAGATCAACCACACCGAGCACTGGGGAGGTTCCGGGGCGAACAGAGCTCTGTGCACAGCGGTGGGGAGGGCACACATGGAAGGTCCTCCCACTGTCTGCGAGGTGTCAGGGCTGGAACGTCCGTGCTGGCTTCCTGCCTCCCTCGTGGCTCTGTGGCTTGGACAGCTGGTGGCTGACCGGCGCCGCTCCGCTGGAGTCGCATTTCTGGGGCCTCAATTCCTGCTGTCAGCAGGGTTCCCCGATTTCTTTCCATGTAGCCTCAGGCTGTCTCCCTCTGCACGTGGCTTCTCCACCTGGTGTCTTTAGAGGGGCAGCTGGGCTTCATCCATGCTCGCCTCGGGCTTCCAAGAGGTATAAGACCGAGCTGCCCAGCCCTCGTGAGACTCAGACGCAGAACTACAGCATAGGCCCCACCCAGATCCATAGGGCGTGGACTACAAGGGCGCAAATACGGGAGGCAGGTTAACACCTGCACCACCTGCACCACCATCCCTGCCGGCACGTGCCCAATGGCGAGTGAGAAAGC